TACATGTTTAGTGTTAGTTTTGTTTATTTACATGTTTAGTGTTAGTTCTGTTTATTTACATGTTTAGTGTTAGTTCTGTTTATTTACATGTTTAGTGTTAGCTTCTGTTTATTTACATGTTTATAGTGTTCTGTTTATTTACATGTTTAGTGTTAGTTCTGTTTATTTGTTTACATGTTTAGTGTTAGCTTATGTTTATTTACATGTTTAGTGTTAGCTTATGTTTATTTAGTTGTTTACATGTTTAGTGTTAGCTTATGTTTATTTACATGTTTAGTGTTAGCTTATGTTTATTTAGTTGTTTACATGTTTAGTGTTAGCTTATGTTTATTTACATGTTTAGTGTTAGCTTATGTTTATTTAGTTGTTTACATGTTTAGTGTTAGCTTATGTTTATTTACATGTTTAGTGTTAGCTTATGTTTATTTAGTTGTTTACATGTTTAGTGTTAGCTTATGTTTATTTACATGTTTAGTGTTAGCTTATGTTTATTTATTTGTTTACATGTTTAGGGTTAGCTTATGTTTATTTACATGTTTAGTGTTAGCTTATGTTTATTTATTTGTTTACATGTTTAGGGTTAGATTATGTTTTTTATTTACATGTTTAGCATTAGCTTATGTTTTTTATTTACATGTTTAGCATTAGCAGAGCTAAACTAACGTTAGTTAGCACATTGACTTAGCAAAGCTAGCTCTTTGGTTAGCTGTGCCCACCACAGTCTTTGCCTTTATTTTAAAAAGTGTTTTGTTGGATCACAAAAATGAAGGTCATGTTTTATTAGAAAGATATCTAATAAACCACTGAATGGATTTAATTAAACTCATAGATGAACGTCTACAGCTGATTAAGAATTTTAAAAAATTTTCTTATCTAGTATTTTTGTTTTTCTAATCGTTTGCTCAGTTGGATTAGCTGTGGCTGTTTTTAATCAGACTGACGTCCATTCAACATTACTCTTATCTGTTTCATGAGATATTTTGCTAACAGAATGGTTGCCTCCTGTCATGAACACTGATATAAAAACAGTTAATTAGTGCAAATTAAAAACAAAAGTATAAATAATGAGTGGTTTATTAAAAGGTAAACATTTTATTAGTTTTATTCTTTATTTTATCTCTTGTTGGGCTTTGCCCCCCTGCCCCTCAACTTCCGGTTCCGCCCCTGGATTCCTCCGCTCGTTCTGTCAGTTTCTGCCGCGCGCTCCAGCAGCTCTCAGAACCGAACCCAGGCTCTCCGACCACCCGAACCTGTGTGGGTTCTGATCCCCGGACCTGTCGGGTTCCTCCTCACGGATTCATTTGGGTTTTTTTTTTCCTTCTCGTCAGCTCGGAACCGCTCGGCTCGGCTCGGAGGAACAGTTTGGGTCCGAACATGAACCAGACGGCCAGCGTGTCCCACCAGGTGAAGTGCCAGTCCACCAAGACCATCAAGGTAAGCGCTGGTTCTGGTTCCGGTTCTGCTGGGTGTCAGTGTGTGGAGAGCAGCGGCGGCTCTGATCCAAACTTCGGTGCGGGTTCTGGTGACAGTCGCACTGACGCACGATGGTCCCGAACCTCCGGGTCCGGGCTGGAGCCGGGCAGGACTCGAGTCTGAGCCGGGTTCTGATGTGGATCCGGACCTCCAGCGGGCTGGAGCTCCAGTTGGTGCAGTGGAGACATTTCATTCATATCACGTCCTGTTCTTCAGAACCGAACCCGAACCGCACGGGTTCGGACCGCAGGAACACCTGGAGACATCTGTCCTGCAGGTGCTGAACTTCTCAGGTCCAGGTGTGCAGACCTGGTCCAGGTGTGCAGACCAGGTCTCAGGAGGGGATCCATCAGGTTCAGACTGATGGAAGCAGGTTCTGATTCTGGTTCTGGTCCAGAACTGGGTGTGAAGGGACAGTCTGAGGGTTCTGAGTTCTTCCTGTTGGAAACATTAGGGTCTAGAGGTTCTGGTTCTGGTGTCATCTCGACCCAAGTGGAAGGAGTTCTGTCAGATCAGCTGATTTTACCTGCTGGATTGTTTCCTGGTTTCAGTKTGTGGCTCGTGGGCCACCTGTGGTCCTTCAGGTCCTCTGCAGCGGTCCTTTAATAATCATAAATAAATAACTGCTGAACAATGTTTTGATCCTAAAATGGTTTAAAAACGATCCTTAATCCTGGGATCAGATCATTCAGTGAATTTAAAATCATAAGATTATAATAAATTAAACACCTAAAGAACTGATCCTGTGCTTCACAAACTTTTTATCTTTTCACCCACAAACTACAGCAGAGCCCTGAGCCCCCAGCACATTGTTTTAATGTCAAACAAGAACATAACATTATTTATTACATTATTTTTGTCCCTTTGAAGTACACTAATTTTATTATTTTGTAAAAACAAAGGAAAAATGTTCTCAGTTGTCATTTTTGTGAGATTAATTCAGAAAATATTTTCAGGACCCCAACTTTGGGAACCACTGTATGTTATTGGGTTTGCTTCTGAGAACTTTAATGTTTCACATGTTTAAYGTGAAAACATCTAATTACTTAAATTAACATGTTTTATTTCAATTTGGTGGAAGTATATGGCATTAGCTCGCGAGCTAACACCATATATATAATATTACGTTGTTCTTCAGTGATACGTGAGCCCCTTCCTTTTGGAAAAACAAGACTTTGAAGCTTTCAGGATGGCGTCCATGTTGTGGACATAGACAGTTCTCCTGACCGTTACCTGCTGGRGKATTCAGATATTTAGTTTTCACTTTTATTTCTGAAACAAATGAATGTTCTGACACTTCTGACTCATTCTGAACACTAACTGAGAGCTAAAATTCACTTCTGCGTCCTGGAAAATGTACAAAAAACTTAGACTCTGTGTAGAATGTAGCTCTGGAGCTTCAACATTTTTAACAAAAACACATTTTTAAAATGACTGTATTTCTTAAAATAAGTCTCACATTTAAAATTGAGCAAATAGGCAAAATGTGAAATGATAAAAACAGTTTGGTACATCCTGCCTCGTCTTTTAAAGAGTTTCTACACTTAAATAAAACGTCCTCACAGTTCGTCTCACCTATTTATTTATTTATTTGTGTACCTGTGTTGTCACTCTRTACTGTACTCAGACAAATCATCCCAGCAGTAAACAAGGTTTKAGGCGTCAAACAGCCCGAGGCTCTGGTTGCAGCTCAGCGTGTCGGTGAACCTGTGAGAGCTGAGTGAAGCAGCAGGATCATCGTAAGGATTAAATACACTCAGAACTCCTGAGAGCAAAAACGCCGTTAATCTGAGCCCGTCCTGCATCTGCTGCTGCCCAGGACTTAACGTTTGTTATCCTCTTAAATGCCCCGGCTCTGTGTCAGGGAGCAGTTTTCAGATGAGAAACCCCGGACCCCCAAAGTCCTGAAGGTCACGGCGGGTTTAACGAGGCAACATGCTGGTTCGTTTGGTCCGGTCCACCCACGGAGCGAGCAGGAGGTTCTGAAAGTGTTTAAATTTACAGAACTGGAGCTTTGATTTATTTAAAAATAATAATAATCTGACTCTCTTTGTGATATTTTCAGTCTCCTCTTCTACGACGAGAGTCTGACATCAAACCATTTATAGTCTCATCACTTAAAACATGGAGGTGACAGAGAGAGGAAATAAAACCACACCAAGTCTTTAATTGGACTCGACAGCGTTTCTTATAAAACCCAGAGTTCTGCTTCATAAATTACTCCAAAAACAAATTAAAGTCTTCGCAGTCAGAAACATAAACCTGAAACATTTGTTTCCACACTTTACACTTAAAAATAATCATTTTGGGGGGGGGGCATTGCCCCCATCGGGCCCCCACTTGGTGGCGCTATAGCTCTACATGAGCTACATTAAAACATGATTAAAAAATACATGTGCTTCTGTTAAAATCAAAAATTACACTAAAATCACAGTTARCTTTGCTAATCATTAATATGACTAAAAATATAGTAATATAAGCTAACGCTAAGCAAATAAAAGTTAGTTGAAGCTAACAGCTAATTGCTAACCACTAAGAATATCAAACGGCTAACAAAATATACCTTCTCTAATACTAAACCACTAAACAAGTTAAAATTAGTGGAAGCTAACTGCTAATATGACACAAGTCTTAGTCTTCTTTTCCCTGAAGACTGTCAGGACTGACAAACATGTTCATGTTAGCTTACTGGTTAGCTGTTGGCTGATATGAAGAGGACTTTGTGCAAGAGAACTCATCCGCTATTAGTTTATAAGTTGGTGAAAAATCTAATTTAGCTAAATTCTGCTGTTAGCTGAACTGTGCCCTCATTTATGTGCCGTTAGACCTTAGATCACCTTTTCTTCTAACACAATAGTTAAAACAACGTATTTGTTTTTTGTTTGTTTTTTTTGAAGAAATTGTTTCGTAATTTACTATCAACTGATCACAAATTGAAACGATGTCACGTTAAACAATGATCTCTCATTATGAAGTCAGAGAAAGTCTTCAGTGTCGTTCGTTGTGTGAATTATAAAAACCATCAGGTGTAAAAATAGAGTTTCTTTTACTGGTTGTTCAACACGGTAGTTCACAGAATCTCGTTTCTGATATTTGACAGGTTCTTAATGCAGCCAAGGAGAGAGCTGCTCTCTTTCAAATCAGCTGAAGAAGCAGAAGATGAGCTGAAATCAAAACAGTCCTTTCAGTTAAAACTCTAAACATTTAAATCTGCTTTTCTTTTTTTAGTTGTGTTCTAATTGAATTTGTTCTTGTTACATTTGGTAAGTACTTWTCACAACACAATTTAACGAATTGATAAATCTGAGGTTTTAGACGTCTTAACAACAAAAAATAAATCCTCCTTTCAGAGCTAGTAGCTGAGAGTCATCTCTAACACGTCCTCTGAAGGCCGACAGATCAAACATTTCTCTTTCATGTTTCACATTGTGAGTACACCAGTGGATCTGAGGCTTTGTTTGCTTTGTCTCCTCAGCAAACAGCTGAAGCTCTCGTCATGTCAGCTGGTTATTAGACCTGTGAGGAGTCTCCCTCTGTTCAGGAGATCCATCACAGAAACAGTCTTTAAAAACTGCTCTGAACCAAGCAGCTCTGGAGATAATGGATCACTGGAATCAGTCTTGTTAGAATGATTGTGTTTGCTCTCCAGCCGAAGAGTCTATAAATTACAGCCGGCTGACAGCGAAACGTCCTCCCACTGCGAGGAGACCCTTCAGACCCCAACGATACATAGTCCCATCAYGAGAAGACCCTTCAGACCCCAACGATCCATCCTCCCACCACGAGGAGACCCTTCAGACCCCAACAATACATCCTCCCACTGTGAGGAGACCCTTCAGACCCCAACGATACATCCTCWCACTGAGAGGAGACCCTTCAGACCCCAACGATCCATCCTCCCACCACGAGGAGACCCTTCAGTCCCCAACAATACATCCTCCCACCATGACGAGACACTTCAGCCCCCAACGATCCATCCTCCCACCATGAGGAGACCCTTCAGACCCCAACGATACATCCTCCCACCACGAGGAGACCCTTCAGACCCCAACGATACATCCTCCCACCATGAGGAGACCCTTCAGACCCCAAAGATACATCCTCCCACCACGAGGAGACACTTCAGCCCCCAACGATCCATCCTCCCACCATGAGGAGACACTTCAGCCCCCAACGATCCATCCTCCCACCATGAGGAGACACTTCAGCCCCCAACGATACATCCTCTCACTGAGAGGAGACCTTCAGACCCCAACAATATATCCTCCCACCATGAGGAGACCTTTCAGACCCCAACAATACATCCTCCCACCACGAGGAGACCCTTCAGACCACAACGATAAATCCTCCCACTGAGAGGAGACCCTTCAGACCCCAAAGATACATCCTCCCACCACAAGGAGACCCTTCAGACCCCAACGATAAATCCTCCCACTGAGAGGAGACCCTTCAGACCCCAAAGATACATCCTCCCACCACGAGGAAACCCTTCAGACCCCAACGATACGTCCTCCCACCACGAGGAGACCCTTCAGACCCCAAAGATACATCCTCCCACCACGAGGAGACCCTTCAGACCCCAAAGATACATCCTCCCACCACGAGGAGACCCTTCAGACCCCAACGATACATAGTCCCATCACGAGGAGACCCTTCAGACCCCAACAATACATCCTCCCACCACGAGGAGACCTTTCAGATCCCAACAATACATCCTCCCACCATGAGGAGACACTTCAGACCCCAACGATACATCCTCCCACTGAGAGGAGACCCTTCAGACCCCAACGATACATCCTCCCACTGAGAGGAGACCCTTCAGACCCCAACGATACATCCTCCCACCATGAGGAGACCCTTCAGACCCCAACGATACATCCTCCCACTGAGAGGAGACCCTTCAGATCCCAACAATACATCCTCCCACTGTGAGGAGACCCTTCAGACCCCAACGATACATC